CATACCAATTTTGCTATGTGGGCATGAGCCAGGTGCTGTTTATCAAATGGTTTTGACTAATTGATCATCAGCAATGTGAACACCTCTTTAAAAATAATTTTGGCAGTTTACCAGCCTGGTCTTTACTGGCTACAATTAGCATGCTCATGACTGTCCAGTTAGAAAAAGATGAACAAGTATGAACAATGTCCTCTGGACAGATGAAACCAAAGTGGAGATGGCCATTAGGCACAGCGCTACATCTCATGCACGGTGGTGGAGGAGTGAAGATTTGTGTTTGTTTTGTTGCAGCGGGATGTTGACCCCAAGCACGGCAGCCAAGCTGCAACAGAATATATGAAAAAAAGTGTTGCAATGGATCTCAACCTGATTTAAACGCTGTGGTAAGAGAGCTGTGCTTAATTGAATGCCAGCAAACCTCCATGACCTGAAGTAATGCTGTAAAGAAGAGTGGGTGAAAATCTTAAATCTTTCACATGATTTGAGATAGTGATAAAGTGGTACAGAGAACAGTTACTTCAAGTTATTTTTGTTAACAGCGGTTCTACAGCTACTGAACTGTGTATAAGACATGAGCCAATTAAATAATCACTAAAGTCCCAACTATGAACCGTTGGGCTCGGATACAACCTCATATCTTCCTGTTTGGCTCACAATCAACAGCTACTACCAAATAAAACAAGTCTTCCTTTTAAACGCAGACTTCACGGAGGCCAAATGTAAACTCAAAAGCAGCTTTATTGCTGACACAAGGGAAATGATGCAAAACTATACTGGGACATGTATGAACTAGTAAACAAAGAGACAAACTGGGAAACACAGCCATGAATGAGGGAAACTGCGACACTGGACAGAAGAAAACAAAAGGCTTAAATACACAGGGAATGACGAGGGAACAGGAAGCTCAGGAGGAACGCAGCTGGGCCAAATTACACACAACGAGACAGAGGACGTAAAGCTAAACATAACACATGAGACAGGGTACGGTCAAAGTAAGAGAAGCAAAGCAAAACATGGCACAGACGGGAGACTACCAAAGTAAAACAGGAAGTAACGGGAACACGGGATGGTGACACTGACCTGCACCCGGTGGCCCCACCAGCACAGCAATGGCCTCCATGAGAAGCACAAGGCCAATGGCACTGGAGAACTTCTCAGTACCGACAATTGCCATGAGAACTTCAAACTGTAGGGCACCCACCATCCCATAGGAGATGCCAAAAAAGATACAGAATACCACCAGCGAGGCATAGTCTTTGGCCTGGGAACAAACATAAAATAATGAACAGAAACCTTCAATGTTTGGACTTCATTTTCCAGTTCAAGGAAGTATGTGACCACTCACCTGTGAGCCAATCAGGTCAGTGACTCCATTGAAGAGCATAGCAAAGCTGAAGAGGTAGACGCAGCGAGGCCGGACCCATTTGAGTCCAGCGATTATACCGCACGTTGGCCGTGCAAAAATATCAATGAATCCCAGGATAGTAAGCAGTAAAGCAGATTTGGTGTCTTCATTTCCCAGCTCCTTAGCGTAACTAACAACAAACACAGGAGGCACGAACAGTCCCAGCACCATGATGGACGCCGCCACAGTATAGATGACAAAGCCACCATCTTTAAACACGGAGAAGTCCAGAAGTTTGGCTTTTGGCTTCTTCTTCTCCTCTTTCCCCTCTTCCTCCTTGTCGTTGTCCTCTTCTAAGCTCTTGGCCTTGAGGTTCTTTGGGGCCACCAGAGGCTTCATGAGGGCCCCGCACACACAGCAGTTCAGCAGGATACCACCAAGGATAAGAAATCCTCCCCTCCATCCATACTGATACTGAAGGACCTGTCCCAGTGGCGAGAGGCAGCAAAGGGCCACGGGGCTTCCTGCTGCTGAAAGGCCATTGGCCAGAGGACGCTTCTCGCTGAAGTAACGGTTCAACATAATCAGAGAAGGTTGGAAGTTCAGAGCTAATCCAAGACCTGCAGCAAATGAAAGAAAGGGTTACACTCTTCAGCCTTTTTAACTTGAACTTACCTGCTTTCATTAACAAAGTTTTCTTTTCCCCTACATTTCTACATGATATGGAGACAAGCATTTCAAGATGTTTCTAACCTTACTCTAATGTTTGAGATATGCTCATGCAGAGCTTGTTTACATGACATCAGCCATATGATTTAATATCTCTTAATGGGTATAATGATGCAAACTTTCTGACAGCAAGTATTTGTGCTGTTGTTACCTTGTAACCTTTGCACCACTAACCTACATTACGGTTTCAAATGCTGCTCAATGATCCGATAAGCACGTGTGGTGGAGTATACTTTCACTGTAACCTTAACCCAGGCGGCACACCGGGGTGCTCTCTTTATCAAAGCTGCAGGCTTGTCTCAGATAAACACAAGGTGTCCTTTGGTGAAGCGGCTTATTTGAGCCCAGACCACAATATTTCCCAAACTTAACCAAGTAGTCGTAAGCCGGTGTACCTTACAAAGCACCTTTTGGTGTTTATAAACCTAAGCAGCTTATAAAAAGCCCAATGGGGGAGGGCGCAGGAAGGAAAAACAAATGCAGAACAAGCAGGGATAAAATTTATTATGATGTATTGAAATATAGGAAAAACATTAATGCATTCTTCTAATAATTGTATTGTAATCTATTCTTAATTTATTGGACGTAAAGTGATTTTATTTGACAATGTACAAGTGTTCGTGACCTGTAATGACTCCAACAGTGAGGTAGATGTGAATGATACTTGTGGCAAAGGAGGCCAGAATCATTCCCAGAGAGGCAAAGAGGCCCCCCACCATCATGACTGGACGACAGCCGAAGCGGTTCACCAGCACGCTGCACAGGGGACCTGGACAAAGTGTAACATAGTATGACTGCATGCATCAGGCGCAGTGTGCAGCACATGAAAAGAAAAGCGGCGAGTATTAAGGTACAAACACAAGCATTTTCCAAAATTTCACATTTTATATCATTGTTAATATGATATAAAATATCCCTCTGAGAATATGCAGATACATTATTTTCATAATGAGATCATCAAATCCTCGAGCTAACCCTTATTTCTTTACACAAAGCTCAAGAAACGAACCAGTGTTTGTGTCTGCACGTCAGACAAATTTGCAAAGAGACACTTTTTAATTAACACACAATTTGTTCCAATTTCTTTATCTGAATCTTAGGGTGATGCCATGGATTACACAGTTTGACAGCAAAAAA